TTTTAGAAAATCTGTAAACTTATGCGCTGATATTTGAGCTTGAGATTTTGTGGCGGCCAGTTTAATTTTGTTAAATGTCACTGTGTCTGGATGAGAGTGAAATTTCTAACTCATAATTTATTCTAACGCCTTTTTTTAATGGGTTTACATTATTTTGCAAGTTTATGACCTCAGTTACCCCAAACATGATTTTTAGTATTCACTATCACGTGTTACTTCCCTTTCTTAACTTTAGAGATGGAAAATGTTCATTTTAAGGGGGGGGGGGCGCCTGATAACATTGCTCGAGATTTGATCAAAAAGGCAAAAGATTTTAGTTAGCATGCAAAAGGTGGACTTTGAAACCAATATAAAGTCTATTTTAGCTATCTTGTTAGGGTAAATGAAAAGTGGAAAGGTTAAAAATATATAAAAAGTGAATATTGGGCAACGTTGGTTAATAGCTCAAACTGAAACTTGACGTAAGAATGTTGAAAACGGAGAGAGAGAGAGAGAGAGAGAGAGAGAGAGAGAGAGAGAGAGAGAGAGAGAGAGAGAGAGAGAGAGAGAGAGAGAGAGAGAGAGAGAGAGAGAGAGAGAGAGAGTATAGGAATCTGGTTACCCCAAAACAGCTTTCAGGTCAATTTGTTTTCCCATTAAAGTATGTCAAAATAAATGCTTCTTTCTGCAGACTCGTTGCTGACTCATATATTCTGAATCACAGCGTAAATATAAAGGTCAGTAAAGATTTAAAAATAAAATATCACATCTGTTCTTGGCTTCTGTTGAATTGCATGGCCAAACATTACTGCAGTACGTATATATTGCATTCGCCATCTAACCCCAAAAATTGAGGCTTAACCAATGTGGCCCCAGTTTCACAAGATATCTAAAAGTTTCTTACTTAAGTTGAGATATTTGACTTTTTTCTTATTGTTTGGTTTGTTAAAAAAATCTTTTACATGGGATTCAGCAGACACCAGGGATTAGTCGAAACATAATCTTACAATGTGTTATAATGGGGTTGGGTACAAGTTCTTCGAATTTAATTAGCCCTCTCCGTACATTTTTTCAACATGACAACAGTGTAATAAAATTAATAGTGTGTGTGTGTGTGTGTGTGTGTGTGTGAGAGAGAGAGAGAGAGAGAGAGAGAGAGAGAGAGAGAGAGAAATTGTGATTTGTTTGATTAATTGAATTCATCCAGCATTGTTTATATATTCGCATTAATGTAAAATAATGTAGTCTTCATTTGCATTGCCTTTTCCCTAAAGCAATAAATCTAAACTGATATATGGCACTAATCTTCAGTAGTCGCTGACTCTATTTGGGACAGAACATAAAGAAATATATTTATGAGCTTAGATTAAGTCGCAGTCTATAATGAACAATAGCTAAGGTTCGATGACTAAAACTTGGCACTTTGCCGGATTCGATGTTAGGACATAAACACTTTTTGATACTCACGTAACTCGTGATACATTATCTATTTTGTTCAATACTGTTTCACATGGCCACTGTTGAGGTTATAAAGATGATTTGGTAGAATTTAGCCCAGAAAGTGCAAATGACTATATGATGCTGGAATGCCGAAAGGTTGGATTTGTTTATTCGGATACAGGGAGAGGGAATAATTAAATAGCACAGTCCGAAGCTGGCTTCCTTTAAATTTTGTAACGTAACGCTTCTTTCGTCTAGATTGCACACTTTTCCAGGAAGTTTTAAAATAAAGAGACTGTCTACTTGTGTATTTTATGTCAGTTCGCTTAGTCTAATCGCTTCTATTAGTAGTTCTTCATGGATGTTTCCCTAATCTCAAAACAAAAATCTGTTTCTGACAACACAGACATTCCAAACGGATATAAGTTTAATACAGTTTAAATCAAACGTTATGCAAAATTTATGATCAAAATAAAGTAATGAAACTTAGGTATTTTAATCAAAGAACACTCGCTTACCTATGAGAAAATTTGAAGGATTTCCTTAAATTTTATAAATGTCTCAACCGTATTGTTAAAGAATAATAAGGTTTCCTTGTTTTAGATTTGAAAATAAACGTGTTTTAATATCAGACAAAAGTACCAATATTTTCTCAAGTATGGTATAAAAAATAATATCACATCTTAATCAGAGAAGAATTGAGCATTATAGTGAACTTGTACCTGATTCCAATTATCTATTCTATATTAATTTTTTTAGAGTGGTGTTGCTTGATTGGCATTCATTGATGCCCTACTTGAAATAAAACTCAAAATATTTACCTGGCTGATTTCCTTTAATATCATGCCAAAGACGCTATGTTTCTATAGTACTGGTCTCGCGATTTGTTCATGTCCTGCTGCCATTTTGGTTCGTAGCAGTAGCACAAAATTAATAAACGAACGTTTACTCTAAAGGAAGAAATTAACAAAGACATAAGTTATTTTGTCGTTTTAAGAATGTTAGGTTTGGAAGCATGGAATACGATTTTAAGACCTGTTCAAATAATTGAGAGGTATGTAATTAAATTAAAGAGGTCTCCAGTTTATTTAAAGATGCCTACAATTCATTTATGGATTTGTTGATCTTGTGCCAAATTAGAGATGTTTCTAATTCTATTAGAGAGCTCTGGAACTGAATTAAAGGACTCTCTAATTCATTTGTAAGGGTCTACAATTGAATTATTGAGTTAACAATCATAAATGCATGGTCTCATTGAACTGGATAAGTCTATGTAAATTAGAGAGGTATATAATTGATACATAGCGCTCTTTAATTAAGTTGTAGAGGTCTCTAATTCAATCAGACACCTCTCTAAAGAAGTAGAGAAGTATTATTGAAATGAATATATGTAAAAATCGGTCGTTTACAGACATTGGATTATTGTGGCCTGATCACGCATAACGACCTTTAGAGTCGTCAAGAGTTACATCCACAGCAGGTTATGTCTGCCTGATCACTAACAAAGACACGAAAAGGTTATCCGGAAAGAGTACGAGGAATGTGTTGCAGGAACTTGCCTTATATGTTAGTCAAGACAGATCAGGTGTCTTAGCGCCGTATACAGTTAGGATGATTTTGGGTTAAAGCCTCAGTCATGCCACGAATTTTTAACGTGTCAATAATAAAACCGTTTGTCATTAGACCATCCTATGCTGGGCCCATACATCAGGCCTATGTTATTCGCTTGCACTCGTCTTTAGAAAGATTACGACACTTCATTATTTTCTGGCATGTAATGAGATGACAGTTCTATACTGCTTCCATTGGAATAGCGTTTTACTAGAGTATACATCAATATGGGGCACAGGTGTGAATAATGAAGATACATAATGGACGAATACAAATCTTAAGACTGCATTAAGTTAAATACCTAATTTCCAGTGATATATACGTTTTCAAACTCTTAACAGCTTTTTACAACAAAGAATACGCCTTCAATAATCCAGCGAAAAAACTTGACTGAGGTTTCCCTAACTTAGCTCTCTTAGTCCGTACTATTGGTAGAAACCAAAATGGAAACAGTTAACATGACTGCTCAAATCTGAGACCTTTCGAATCTTTTAAAGACATACTAAGTTTACAATAAATCTTTTTTAAAACATCATACGCAAAAGTCATCTGTCACCAAAGGCGAGAAGCTCGTTATTGAAGTTTGAACACAAGATTTATAATTGTGAACTTGGATAGCAATACCTTAGCAACATTATATTTTCATCCCAGCCCCACTAAAGAATATTTTACTCGTTAGGAGTTGGAGATGTCACCGATGTAATATTATCAGCATTAATTTGTTTTGGTTCACACACACACACACACACACACACACACATATATATATATATATATATATATATATATATATATATATATATATATATATATATATATATATATATATGGAGATTAATGGATGAAATAAAGGAAACTGTATTTTGGATTAAATTTGGTGTACGATGTTGAAGTTTGTTTTGTTCGATCTTAATATCTTGTTTTCTTTAGCTCCTTAAGTTAAGTATATAGGTTTGTACTTCTCTCCCTCTCGGTGTGATTATCTATGTCTCATCACAAACTGAACAGTATGCCGAGTTTAATGTTATCCGTTTCCTTATCTTCATCCAAAAATATCTTGTGTATACTATATCAAAGAGGCCAGTGCCTGCATGTTCAACCCACAATTAAGGCACTGCTAGAAAAAACCTGAATCAACAAAACCTTGCCCAATCTTTGACCCTGCCGCAGCTGAAGCCGTAAAGATGACTGCTATGTCCCGCTTACCAATAACCTAAGATAGAAACACGAAATGTTGGAAATATATGGGCATATATCTCGATTAATATCTCGAATGAAATATAAAGTGGTGACTTTGATCACAAATAAGAGAAACATTTCTTTCCTTCTAGAAAGAAAATACAAATACTATTGATTTGTCAATGCACACAACATTCTCACAAGTTCATATGATTTGTTGTTGTTTTTTAACTTGTGTAAAATATATCACATACCATGAAAACAAAAATAATATTGATATTCTGCAACAGTTATAATGTATCTGAGAGTGAAATCAGAATTACAAGCGGTCATATTCAAGGGGTTTGGGTTATTCCTGTTGTTATCTTAAATTAGCATCACCCAGTCTCAGTACATTTCCAATTTAACTGAGAATTTACAATAGCTTGCAAATAACACTTCAGACATTGTCAGGATTTCTGTCAGATGTCTAATCTGTAGAAACGATGCAGTATCACATTTTAATTTTAAAGTTCAACATATGTAAACCTATTTTAATCTTGCAAACAAGAGTTCATCAATTACTCAAAATCTGATACATCTTCAAATGTTTCTGTGGAGATAAAACAAGAATTTGATCAGTATAAAATGAAGATACGGCTTTTATATAATGTAAACCCTGGTCACTGCTAAATGTTCTGTAATAAACAGGTTGTTACCAGCAAAGTGATACGACATTGAAACAATAAAATGAGGATGACATTTTGACATATTTAGTGGCTCAAGGGTCTTAGAGCAATGTCGATCCCTCCGGTGGCTTTAAGTGGTTAGAGCTTGGGCCTCGGATGTGGGAGGTCGTGGGTTCGAACCCCGGCTGAGCCATACCAAAGCCTAACAACAATGGTACAAGCATCTTCCTCGCTTAGCGCTCAGCATTCAGAAGTTCGTGATAGGACTGATCGGACCCGGTGTCCAGATGATGTGACTGGATGGGACACAATGCTACCTGTCTGCGACATGATGCTCCAGTAAGGGCCATCACTACAAACTGCCACAATGCAGACATCGTAGTGATATAACTAGAATTTTTTTTTAAAGCTACGTTAAAAATACAAATATCACACACACACACACACACACACACACACACACACACACACACACACACACACACACACACAACACCAATGGGTATATGCATTATTCACAAGCCAGTGCATACTAAATGTCCCTAAACTATCCAATTTTCTTACAGAACTGTGAAATAAATGTCAGAGATGAATGTGCGCAAAAGTTTATCTTAAAAGAGAATGAAAATGAAGGTATGGCAGTAACATTTTTGACAAATCTTTTTTGATGTATAAAAATCTGCATTGCTGAATATCTCACGAAATGTAAAAGGTTGTGGTTGTAAGTACCGAATAATCTCTCTTATAAGTCGAGATCAAATGCAATTAATGCAAACCCTTATCTGCCGTCGCATAATGCGCCGGACGTTCAAGATCCATTTTCTTTGTCCTACTGATTACTCTGTAAAAGGTACAGATCCATATATTTTTGCCAAAATTGTGTATTTAAGGATATATCATCCAAAAGTACTAGTGTTCTTGCTCAAAATTACGTCGTTGAACTTTACATTTCTTTCCGACACCTGCATATCATGAACGTAAAAATTCATCTCTAAAAGCTGAGAAATGTGCACGCGTAAGATAAATATGTCATAACACAATGACAAGTTTTGTCCGAAAACCAAACCCGCCTGTACGACAGAGTTTTGATGGTGTTGGGATAATATGCAGACAAGATAAGCTGTGTATTTAAAAAAAAAATGATCTCTATTTTCCCTCTGAGGAGGAACACAATGAAATGCGGAACACCTGAACCAATTTCACGTAGAATAACAAACCTACAACTGCAGATGTACCGAGAGGTTTAAACTTACCCTATCGTTACCTTTAAATCAAGTAATTAATGAAAAGAAGGTCACTGCGAATAACCTTCAGTTGGGGGAGGATTAGAATTATGTACGGAACACTCGGAATAAATTACATAACAGCAACTGCAACTAGCCAGTTGCATTTTTTTTTCTACACTTGGATTAACCTGTATACAGCAGCCATTGTTATAAGGAATACGGGTACTGGATTATAACCTGTACATAACCATTGTCTTAAGGAATACAGAAAATGGACTAAACCTGTACACAACAGCCTTTGTCCTAAAGAAATACAGGTACTGGATTAACTGTACATAACAACCATTGTCATAAGAAATACAGGTACGGGATTAAACCTGTACACAACAACCATTGTCGTAAGGAATACAGGTTGCCGTGACTTGCATTATCCTGTGATGGCTCAGAACAATGCAAGAAAGACCCAAGTCCATTTTCAGAATTACAAATATTTTGAGAGTAATATGGCCAGAGTTACAAATATTTGGAGAGTAATATGGCCAGAGTTACAAATATTTGGAGAGTAATATGGCCAGAGTTACAAATATTTGGAGAGTAATATGGCCAGAGTTACAAATATTTGGAGAGTAATATGGCCAGAGTTACAAATATTTGGAGAGTAATATGGCCAGAGTTACAAATATTTGGAGAGTAATATGGCCAGAGTTACAAATATTTGGAGAGTAATATGGCCAGAGTTACAAATATTTGGAGAGTAATATGGCCAGAGTTACAAATATTTGGAGAGTAATATGGCCAGAGTTACAAATATTTGGAGAGTAATATGGCCAGAGTTACAAATATTTGGAGAGTAATATGGCCAGAGTTACAAATATTTGGAGAGTAATATGGCCAGAGTTACAAATATTTGGAGAGTAATATGGCCAGAGTTACAAATATTTGGAGAGTAATATGGCCAGAGTTACAAATATTTGGAGAGTAATATGGCCAGAGTTACAAATATTTGGAGAGTAATATGGCCAGAGTTACAAATATTTGGAGAGTAATATGGCCAGAGTTACAAATATTTGGAGAGTAATATGGCCAGAGTTACAAATATTTGGAGAGTAATATGGCCAGAGTTACAAATATTTGGAGAGTAATATGGCCAGAGTTACAAATATTTGGAGAGTAATATGGCCAGAGTTACAAATATTTGGAGAGTAATATGGCCAGAGTTACAAATATTTGGAGAGTAATATGGCCAGAGTTACAAATATTTGGAGAGTAATATGGCCAGAGTTACAAATATTTGGAGAGTAATATGGCCAGAGTTACAAATATTTGGAGAGTAATATGGCCAGAGTTACAAATATTTGCAGGGTGATCACATTCAATTGTGCAAAACTTTCTTAATAGTTTCTAAAATTAAGGAAAACAATTTGCCTTGAAAAAAGAAATTAGGAAAAGTTTCAAACATCTGGAAATTTGAACCATAAGAAGAAACACACCAAAAAAAAAAAAAAAAACCAGCAAAAAAAAAAAAACGACAGAGCTGATAGTGGCTTCAGTAAAACAAAGTATATACAACGCCGCCATCTCTGATGTCAACAATAAAACAAGATATCCTAATTTCGAGAGAATGAGACACACATTCCCTGGTTATATTTAAATCTGCTTAATTAATCGAACGTTGAAACATGCCGATATAACTTACTATGTAGAGATCTGAAAGACAACCAAGTACACAATAAGAGTATTTAGGAGAAAAAAAAATAACTGATAAAAACCGAGGTCCCTTAGGGGTTGAGTCCCAGGCAACACGTCCCCCTTCCCTTCTGATCGGGCCGGATTCTTAGTATAATGTGGCGCTCGTGAAATAAATTCTAAAATGTGTCCCGATTTACAAACTTTCAGAACTGTCCGCCTTGTTGCACGTCAATATTTATATCATTCGTACATATAATCACATAATTTTCGCAACCATACAAATTTAGCAAACGTTAGTTAAAACCCGCAAGATTCTCTCATTTGTTTCACACGCGCTATTCAGACTAGCTACTATGTGATGGCCAGAGTTACAAATATTTGTAGGGTGACCACATTCAATTGTACAAAACTTTCTTAATAGTTTCTGCAATTAAGGAAAACGATTTGCATTGAAGAAAGAAATTAGTAAAGTTTTAGCAACTTAGCAAATGGTTGATGTACCTATAATTTATGGCTCTCTTGTACAAAGTATATCTGTCACAAATTACAGACAACCTACAATTCTATCCAATAACTTTTTTTTCTGATTTCGAACACACATCACAGTCACAGATCTGCATTTTGTGAGAGCAGATGTAGGTCTATGTTGTTTGCAGTGTGTATGTGTGTGTTGTATGTGTAAAAAAAGTATAGTGAACGTTCACCGATATGTTGCTCAGTGGAAACAAAAGTTGCCGTGATAAAAGCGAGATCGCTTAATCTGGCCTACATACAGGATGTCTACCACTTACCTTGATTGCCCGGTATGTCCTCTTTGCACGTGCAGTTTATTTCGAGTTAGTCTATTAAAAAAGACAGTCACTGGTCGTGACGGTTTGCATTTAAGTGTATGCAACTTAAATATAAAATGTCAAAAACTCGCATTAAAATATAAGGGAAGGGGATATGGGAACTAGGCCTCAGAAATGTCACGTAACAACGCTATCTTTTTCAGATAAATATCCTTATCTGACGAAGTATATGATGTGGGCTCTAACCTAATTGTAAATTTCCAATCAATGGAACTAAACTAAAAAAGTCTGACAACTAATCCATACGGTTTTGTCTCCCTTGAATTAGCATGCTGCCCATTTTGACAAACGAACGTGTGATCTGAACTTCGGTTGAGGCAAGTTTATGTCCATTAGTTCACTCTGCACAATCGCCACTAAGTGTATGCCTCTGCTGTTTTGGCATTAACTATTCCATTTTGATATATTCCCTATTCTGAGCACCTAGGCAGAGATGCAAATGTATTAAGAGCTCAATAAAAATGTTCCCAATATTTGATCTCTTGACTTTCTTTTGCTGTCATGAATTGCTAAGGTCAATTCTAAATGTAAAATTGCCTGAGTCACAGTAAATTTTGTGTCTACAATCCCATGATGAAATGAAAGAGATCGATTTTTAAATACAAGCACTTATAAAGCTTGATATGTAGTTATCATGGAGTTTACAATTGTTGTGTCTTCTTTTCATGCTGCCAATTTAAATTTACAATAAAAGTTGTTTACTGAACCTAGACAGAAAATTAAAAAATCTTAAGTAGCTTTTCCCAAAATTCTGAATTAATACTAAATCTTGATAACTGGTAAAATTATTTCATTTCTGATATGGAAATAAAGGTGAATTTCACAGACTATCTATTCCCAAATTTCATTCAAGAAACAAAGAAAAGAAAAGAACCAGGATTCAGCAAACATTGTTTTCCTGGTGATCCACAGAACTCTTTCCATAATACATACTAAGTGATACATGCCTTATCCTTTGACAAAATAAATTATCAAGTCTACATCAAATATATTACATGGAAAAATATAAATAAACCATTATAATGGGATGCATGAACATACTTGTGTTATATCTGCTATAGTGTTATACTGAAGTGCTTTATAGTTAGTAACTACTGGATTCAATTACTAAAATCTAATATTTACATGTATTTTGGTAGGATAATCATTAAATGACCTTATATATGATATTAAACCAAAGTACATGTATAACCAATGATTAAAAAGCTCACTGTTACTTGTGTCCAGCAGCCACTGTAATCATTATCATGCGGAAAACAAAGTAATCTGGACAACAAAACAATTTTTGGGTACATTCTTTTAACTTTATATCTAACCTTTAAAAAATTTTACATTTTTATTTTAACTTTTTATTGGCACTATAGAGTCAGTATTATGCAGAGATATTTTGGAACCACCTATATACTATAACTGAGTAAGAAAGGACA